AAAGCCAAACTGCCCCCTACTGAAACCTCCGCGGTTGTCTACAAACTACTTTGCAACGACGGATACTGTAATTACGTTGGAGAAACAAGGCGCAAATTGCATCCTCTACCGTGGGGATGAGACAGAACACCAGCTGCCGTCAAGCTATGCTAAAATCCACATGGAGGGCCAAGAAGCGAGCGGAGAAAAATAGATCAGCCCAAAGCCAACACATGCAGCCGCAGGGCCAAATTTGCTGATCGACAAAGTCAGTATACGCTTCAAAAAATTACAGCCGGCCCAGCTGTCCGAAACGTCAGCAAACCAACAAATTAATTCTCGTGAGCAAAACATGAACTATAAAACATGTTAACATTTTGTACAGGAAGTTCCCACTTTTAGATTGCATAATCTGCAATCACTATTTCTACGCATTTTTAAAAATTTCTGTAACCTTCGTCATGGATCCATCAACTTATGTCGCTCAATTGCCATAAAGGGCGTTTATTTTGATTTAATCAAGAAAAAAAATCCGTTTGTTTTCGGTCTCATATTGTTAATAGCTCGAAACCAGGATCTGGAGCTGATAAGGGTGTTTTTTATTGTTCGAGCCTTTTGATGTTTCACGCACCACGCCGTGAAACTGTGGTATAGTGGTAGACGATGAGTGCGATGAGGCCTTAAGAGACTAGATTCTATGGGCTTTTGCCTTGCTAACTGCAACCCCGTCAATTTTGCTTGACATGCGTAATTGTAAAATTGAAGAGAGCTTGCGTACCAGCAAAACTGGTTAATTTTCAACTGCACTAAAAGTGCTCTGGAGATCATTACTGTTAATCTCGTCGGGAACCAATCGTCTGCTTTGTGCATTGATAACGCAAATGACTAGCGAAAGGGTGTGCGACTGCTTACGCTGCCCCTAGTTTCTATCTTGGGTTTATATAAATGCCGATTGGCATAGTAAATGTGCCAGTCGACAGATTATTAGGCTATCGAATGAATGACTCACTTGAAGGTCAACCACTTCCAAGAAAAACCTAAATTTAGCTCTTCTGAAAGAGCACTATTATGCAAGGTTAGGGTGTATGAAAATTGTTAAAGGAAAAACACTGGTAGACGTTTTCAAGCATAGTTCTGAAATGATAAGTATCATTGACTCTGAACGGATCAGACCTTTATTCCGCCTCGTTCTTTTCTATACCCACCATTTTAGACGCCGAAGTATACAGTAGATTCACTATCTCATGCAATAGCTGCCGAAATTCTGAAATAAGTTTTCGATTGGAACATATTAATTGCGGATGGTTGTAATCGAGATGACCATACAGCCTAATCTCAACATATATTTTAGACACCTCAGGATGCCGGCTTTCTAACGAGCTTCTTTTTGACCGCCAG